CTCGCTCCCTCCCTCCCCGCCGGCCCCGCCCCGCGCAGCCCCTCCGCCCGCCGCGCGCAGACAATGAGAGGGAGGCCGAGGGGGGCCGGCCCTGGGGATTCTGGAGGGGTTGGATCGCTGGCCTCCCGCCGGCCCAGGGTGACGGCCACCGATGGGGGTGAGGGTGTGGTGCGTGACAGGGGGTGACCAGTGTATCCCTAGCACCGGTTGGCATGGCTGGCACCGCTTCCTTTTCTGTCCTAAACCATTATTCCTATGGGTCTCTCTAACCGATTCCTGCTTGGGGGCCACCGGAACTTCCCGGTCCCGTTGATCCTGGGACCTGATTTTAACTCCTTTCTTTCCAGCAAGGGGCCCCAGGTCGCCTGGAACCAAGCAAAATTGTTTCTGCTTCCCCAACCTGGCTGCTGGCTGGGGGCTGACGCCTGGGGTGAGGTGAGCCTCTAAAACATACAACAAGAAATCCCAGGGACCCAGGAAGGCATGTGCCCTTGTTGAGTTCCTAGGGCCCTCAAGGGTCCATACCTTAGATAAGAAAGGAAAGAGGAGGAAATACGGAGCTGAGAGAAGTGAGACAGGCCAGAAATCAGATCTCATGATCTCTGACCTAGCATTGCTCTCCCTTTTTCGAAGGCCTGAACGACCCCCTCACTATGGCTGATGGCTAGGAGGAGAAAGAGACTCCAAGTCCTTGGGGTTAGCTCAGGCTCTTTCTGGTTGTGTGGCAGTGCACAAATCACTGCATTTCTCTTGAAACCTCAGTTTTCTTTCTTATAAAATGGGTTTTCTGGGCTGGGAAGGTGGCTCAGCGGTAGAGTGCTTGCCTTGCATGGATGAGACCCTGGGTTTGATTCCTCAGCACCACATAAGCAGAAAAAGCCAGAATTGGCGCTGTGGCTCAAGTGGTAGAGCACTCACTTTGAGCTGAAGAGCTAAGGGACAGTGCCCAGGCCCAGACTTCAGGCCACATGACTGACAAAAAAAAAAAAAAAAAAAGGTTTTCTGACACTGGTGATTTGCTCACTTGGGATTACTGGGAGGATAAGAGTGAAAAGATTGCTAGATTTTCTGTAGATGCTCTAGGAGCAGAGCAGAGTCAAGATATGAGGATCAATTTTCTTCCTATTCCCCCCCCCCTTTCCCTGTTCCTTGAAAAATTGGTGAAGACTTTTCCAAGTCCAAAATAAGGCCAAATTAATGGAGCAAAGCCGGTAGGATGTGTAGACTCCCTCTCACCCTGTTTCTTCCCCACCTCTCCTCTTCCCTTCATTCATCCTTTCTCTCTCTCTCTTTTTTTTTCCCGATCGTGAGGCTTGAACTCTGGGCCTGGGCACTGTCCCTCACTCTTCAGCTCAAGGCTAGCGCTCTACCACTTGAGCCACAGTGCCACTTCCGGCTATTTCTGTTTCTGTGGTGCTGAGGAATTGAACCCAGGGTCTCATGCATGCAAGGCAAGCACTCTACCACTGAGCCACCTTCCCAGCCAGCCCTCTTCCTTCCTTCTTCCTTCCTTTCTTCCTTCCTTCCTTTCTTCTTCCTCTTTCTTTCTTTTCTTCCTTCTTTCTTTCTTTCTTTCGGCAGTCCTGGGGCTTGAACTCAGAGCCTGGGAATTGTCCCTTTTTTACTCAAGGTTAGCACTCTGCCACTTGAGCTATATTTCTACTTCCAGCTTCTTGGTAGTTAATTGGAAATAAGAATCTTAGAGATTTTCCTGACCAGGCCAGCTACCAGCTGTGATCCTCAAAAAAATCTCAGCCTCCTGAGTAGCTAGGATTATAGCATGAGCCACCTGTGCCTAGCTTTTTTCTTTCTTTTCTTGTACCAATGATGGGGCTGGAAATCCAGCCCTAGGCCCCCTTGCTTCTGTTTTCTCAATCCCCAGTGGCACTCTATCACTTGAGCCATATCTCCAGATATGGCATTTTTTGTTGTTGTTTGTCATGGGACTTGCACTCTGGGCCTAGGTACTGTCCCTGAGTTCTTTAGCTCAAAATGAGCATATTACCACTCAAGCCACAGTGCCACTTCCAGTTTTCTGGTGGTTAATTGGAAATAAGAGTCTCATGGACTTTCCTGTCTGGGCTGATTTTGAATCAGCATCATCAGATCTCAGCCTCCTGAGTAGCTAGGATTACAGGTATGAGCCATGGGTGCCTGGCCAGATATGGCTTTTTGAGAATTCATTGGAGATAGAATCTCATGGATTTGTTTGCCTAGATTGGCTTAGAATTATGATTCTCAGCTGGGTGCTCAGGCTCATTTCTGTAATTCTAGCTACTCAGGAGGCTGAGATCTTCAAATGGTTGTTCAAAGTCAGCCCGGGCAGGAAAGTCTGTGATATTCTTCAATGAACTTCAAAAAGCCAGAAGTGGAGCTGTGGCTCAAGTGGTAGAGAGCTAGTCTCCTTGGGCAAGAAAAGTTCAGGGACAGCATCCAGATCCTGAGTTCAAGCCCCAGAACTGGCATAGAACAAAACAGAACTGTGATTCTCAGATCTCAGCCACCTGAGTAGCTAGAATTGTAGACATGGTCCACCCTGGATTTTTGTATTATTTTGTATTATTTTTTAATTTTTATTTTTGTCAGTGCTGGTGCTTGAATTGAAGGCTTGGGAGCTGTCCCTGAGCTTTTATTTTTCCTCAAGGCTAGTGCTCTATCACTTGAACCATGGCTCCATTTATGTTTTTTTGGATAACTTATTGGAGATAGGAGACTCACAGATCGCAGCCTCCTGAGTAGCTAGGATTATAGGCATGAGCCATGGATGCCCTTGATGTTTATAGTTTTTTTCTCTGATCATGTTACTTGGGGGAAGAACTGTGACTAAGCTGAAGTCCAGTACTATTTATTATACCAAGAATAGCTCCAACTGTGGGCTGAGATTCCCATTTACTCACTGGGAACAAGAGCCTGGCATGAGGGCTGGGAAGGTGGCTCAGTGGTAGAGCGTTTGCCTTGCATGCATGAGGCCCTGGGTTTGATTCCTCAGCACCACATAAGCAAAAAAAAAAAGCTGGAAGTGGCGCTGTGGCTCAAGTGGTAGACTGCTAGCCTTGAGCTGAAGAGCTGAGGGACAGCACCCAGGCCCAGAGTTCAGGCCCCACAACCAGACCACCCCCCCAAAAAAAAGAGCCTGGCATGACCAGGAAGCCTGAGCTTTGAAAACCCAGACAAATCTGTGTTTTTAAGCTACCTCAGCTTCAAAATGAGGTTTTAAAAAGTTGTAGTGTGCCCGGTGCCAGTGGCTCACATCTGTAATCCTAGCTACTTAGGAGGCTGACATCTGAAGATCATGGTTCAAAAACACCCCGGGAAGGAAAGTCCCTAAGACTCTCATCTCCAATAAGCCACCAGAAAACTGGAAGTGGCACTGTGGCTCAAGTAGTAGAGTGCTAGCCTTGAGCTGAAGAGCTGAGGGACAGTGCCCAGGCCCCCTACAACTGACAAGAAATAAAATAAAATGTTGTATTGTTATGAGACATTAGTTTTCTTTTTGGATTTCTCAACTATACTTGCCAGGAGAAGCTCAGATGGAGACAGAATGAAGGCCTGTCATGGTGTTGCACATCTGTAATCCTAACACTGGGAAGAAAGTTGCAGAGTTTAAGGCTAGCCTGGACAACATAGTACAATCATCTCTCAAAAACAAACAGGCGAAAAGAAAGCCAACTTGAACCAAACAACCATTGAAAGCAGACCTCAAATCTGATTCTGTTTTTAAAGAATCCTTCTTTCCTTCCTTTCTTCCTTCCTTCCTTCCGTCCTTCCATCTTTCCTTCCATCCTCCCTCCCTTTCTTCCTTTATTTTGTGCCTGTCCTGGAGCTAGAACAAAGGATGTTGGTGCTATCCCTGAGCTTTTTTTTACTTAAGGCTAGCACTCTACCACTTGAGCCACAGCTCCACTTCCAGCTTTTTGGTGGTTAATTGGAGATAAGAGCCTCACACATTTTCCTGCCCCTGCTAGCTCCCAGCTGTGATCCTCAAAATCTCAGCTTTCTCACAGAAATGGAGGAACAAAAAGTGAACAAATGCAGCAATGGTACTCACTGGACACTATATTGAAAATGAACCGTACAATTTGTGGGTAGGTGGGAGGGAAAAGCTGGGAGAGAATGAGAGAGGTGGTGACATTGTCCAAAAAGAAATGTACTCTTGGGACTGGGAAGGTGGCTCAGTGGTAGAGCGCTTGCCTTGCATGC